AGCTAGTACTAAGCCAATCAAGATTTGTGCGGCTCACAGTGTAACATGTGACAAGGTCCTAATTTATATCAGAGAATGAGTGACATAAGTTACACTGGTACAAGTATGTCATATGTCCAAGCCCTAAATGAAGGGGAATAATCCTGTCTAAGGTCCTTTATACACGTATAACTGTGTCCCCACTAGACACTGTACTGCTGTAACTGTTTCAGTAGGAAATCATCCCCCAACTGGAGTGGCTAAGTCAATACAAAACTGTGCAAGCCAGGCAGGAGGGAGGCTGAAAATGCATGCATGCAGAAAACAGCATAATGAGATTCAGCTTAGAAAACCTGAGACTGACTGATGAGTAGGCTGCAGGGACCAGAAAGACATAGCACGTGGAGTCAAAATGCAACCAGCAAAGCAGACAGTGCCCATTCCCACTCCAACATGTGACTTGGATTGGGGAACTAATTAGTGGTTTGCCATTTGCTTCACTGCCTTAGCAGATAAAACACAGACTGGAAAAGGGCCATCCCGAGGCTGCAGCAAGGGGTCTCCCATAAGGAACTGCCTTGAGATAAACATGGATTCCACTTTAATCAAAGCAAAATATATCATTTAAAATATTATTCTAGAGCACTGGTGCTCAGTTTTTCAGCCCTGTGGATTGGATGAGTGGCACAAGGCTGGTCTGTAGCCCAGATCCCTTGTGAAGCTGGTGCACAGGGTTGGGCCCTGCAGTCCCTAATAGGGCTCCACATGCCCGGATGGGACCCCACACTGCCTTGCCATCCGGATCAGGCCCTACGTCACCTCAGCCCAGGCCTGCACACCTAATCTTGTGCATAGGGCTATGCTCTCCAGCCCGCCAGGCTCCCCATGGGTCCAGTAATTTGGCAGCAGGAGAGCAGCAAGTAACACTACCACTGCTTCCCAGCCTCCACATTTTCAGACTCATAGAGAGCATGGCAGGCTGGGTGACACAGCTTCATAAGCTAAGTCTGGCCTATGGAGCAGAGTTAAGCACCTCTGTTGTGGAGAATTAATTTTGACAGAATTGGACCAGTGTTTTCTGGGATATGGGTCAGTGCTACAAGAAAGCAAGCACCAGATTTTACTGAACCTGCTAAGAATGTTTGCCTTCCCATTTTGCTTCTTGCTTGAAAAGTTGGCTCACAGACAAAATACAAAACAGATCATGCTGGTGACCTGCTTTTCCCTACCCACTGACACTGATGGAATGGCAGCATCTAGACTAAACTGTGATCTCATCTGCAGTGATCTCAAGAGTGTCTGATGGATTTCTGGTAAAAAACATGAACCTGATGGTAGAATTAGACACAGGAAGGCAATATAAATGGATTGGAGTTGCTTGTCTCTGGATACTAAAATTCAGTCTCCTGGAAAACTTAGTATGGCAGGATCCTGGGAACTGTCAGGTAGTGTAAGTGGTGAAAAAAAACAGTGTCCAGTGGAGATAAACTGCTAACCAAGATAACACCCATAAAAGGACAAGTGTCACACCAGTGGTCAATCTAGGCCAGGTTCCTGTTCTTAACCATCCTCTTTAGAGGAAAATATGGTACAACACTGGCCTGAGGAGAACAGATCCAATAATATGCTCATGTGGAGGAAAAAAAAACAAGTGTGAAAAAGTTAACAAGGTAACAAGGTAATTCTCCTTGCAGGAGAATAGTAAGTATAACCAGCAAAAGCAATCTCAGGGACATGACTGTTGTCCAAGATATATATTGAAGGGTCAAAAAAAAAGCATAACTACTATTGTTGCATCTTGACAGACACAAGCTGTCAGGATGCAGGACAAAGCCAGCATCACAAGATGGACATGGGTCAGCAGAGGGACACAGGTCAAGATTTGCAGACTTGATAATTAGTGCTTCTGGGTGCTCATGCTGGGATATTTTAAATGCTGTAGTTTACAAAGGGCCACTCCCTCGTAATACACAAATTACGAATCCCTTTTAATGATTTTGGCTCTAGTTCCTCATTCTTCAAGAAAAGGAAAATTAGAGAAGCACTGACTGATTCCAGCTCTTTCAGGTTTGGGGAAACAACATTTAGATATCTGCTTTGGGGAACAAACTCTGGGCATGTCTACATTGTCTCCAGCACTGGTGGGAGGGATGGGAGTTTGAGCATGACTCTCCTATCCACATCCACCAAACCCAGAGATGTGATGATGATTGCCCCCCTGTGGCTACTCTCAAGATTGCTTCCTTTGATGTGTTTGAGAGCAGCTATATAGATATATATATGTGTGTGTGTGTGTGTGTGTGTCTGTGTACCTGGAACTGTTTCATTACCACAATTCTGGGTTTGGCAGATGGATGGTCAGGGGACACTTGGGACAGCACTGGGAACAAAACACAGACCCCCTCTTCAAACTCTAAGATCAAAGAGCAAGTGTTTGACAATGTGGGTAACTGGAACAGAAGGGCCAAATGAAAAAAATGGCCAGCAGTTCAGCTGGGAACTCACTGAGAGAGCATAACGTTGCAGTACCCACAAATACATATATTAAAAAGCTGTATCATCCCACAACAGTTCACCCAGCTAATCCAAACAATGGTATTTGATGGGCAGCAACATACACTATGACCAGGAAATGTTAGGGAGGGATTGAAAATCAGCAAGAGTGGGATAGAAGAGGTTGCCACATCCTAGACATTCAGTTCTTGGTCTAAGTTTAGAGGGCAAGAGGATCAACCTGCCCCCAGCATGGGGCAGGCACTGAAAGCTTCCAAGTCTCCTCACTGCCATGGTCTGGGGCCATCTGAAAGCTGTTAAGGGACAATAGCCCTTAGCCAATAGCTGTTAGGGGACAAATGGAGCAGAAGTAACTCCAGTGGCACCAGAAGCAAATCAGCCAAGTCATTTACATCAGGGACACAAAACAGAGGACAAGGGACGCTGTCCAAGTTATGCAATCTGTTAAAGAAACAGGGACTCTACAGTGACAATGAACCAGTGGTGATCAGGATCTGCTGCTCAGATCCCTAAAGGAAAGGAGCATCATGAACAGCCCCCGGACAGAATGATGGAACATGCCCACAGCCAGCAAGAAGATAATGATAAAGGAGGGGCAAATCATTAAAGCAGTAAGAAAAAAAAACTTGTTACACTGTTAGCCAAAGTCTGGGCAATACACATCATTGTCATTTGACTGAATGCACCTGTGCAGCACATACTGTGAGGCTGTGTATTGCCCATAAAAAAGGATAAGATAGATCTCAGCCTCTGGTGGACTAGGGTAAGATGGCAGGGTGGCTAAGGCATCTTGCTACAGCTTCAGAACTCTGTGTGTAAACCCTCTTCTGGACTTGTGCCAAAGGCTGCCCCTGTTTGAAACAGCTGTAAATGGCAACCTGGCCATTTGCATTGGAGAGTCTAAGGCAGCTGGCAGGTGCTACTGGCATGCCTTGTCCACACCAGCCTTATGGGTGGCTCAGCTGGAGTGCATTTTGGGCCTTCCACAGTCTAGAACTGCTTCAGGAACATCACTCAGTGTAAGATCATGAGCTCCTTGGGGGCACATCTGTACATTTCTAGTGGCACTGAAAGGAATGTAAACTTTCCTTTCATTCTGTGCCTGGCATTCAGAGCCTGGCAGACTGGCCTCAGTCACCTGATGTAGGTCAGAATTAAATAAGATTGCTTTTCTGTCACATGTCAGGGGTCAGCACCCAATGCTTCCCTGAGCCACCCTTATTACATAGGGATCAAGCAACTCTTCTGCCTCTGTGCATCCCAGTAGATGGCACCATAACACTAGCTGTCCTGAATGCCTATTGTAGGCTGGGAGAAGTCTCATGTACAGCACAGCCCATAGACACTCTTGAGCCTTAACTAACAGGCTCCCAGGGACACAATGGTCCAAGAGTATGATATTCTTGACATAGCTATTTGCATTCATTGCTAATTATTGTGATGACTTTGTAAGGAAAACTGTGAGTCATTAGCACTAGCCAATGGGGCTAGCCACTGGCTTTGTACCTGAGGCAGCAGGACACAATCACATTCACGAGGACAACAGTAGACATAGAGAATTCTGCCCAGCACAGCAAAGCAGGATGCTGATGTCAGATGTGTGGGTGCATAAATCTGAGCCCTGAGGAGATGAAATAGGCACCCTTTCCTAAAAGGAAAGTAGCTGTGCCAGCTTGGTATAGGCCGACAATGCAAGCACTTGTTCAGCAAGAAAGCAAGTTAAAAGGGCAGCCCAGCAGTCACTGCTTGGAACATTAGGCCGGAACATTTGATGAACCGGATTTCACATTCCCAAAGAGTGAGTTGAAAGTGTAGGCCCCGGGGCAGAGTCCTCATGGACATTAATAGCAGTCAAGGAGCAAACCAATTCCTGGTGGTTATCAATCAAGTATCCATCTTAGTGTGATGCATAACTACAGTGGTGGCAGCAACATGTCGGATATGGGAAAGAGGGTATGAGCCCAGGGCCTGTTTGGTGAAAAACAGAATGCTTAAAAAATGTCTAGCCATTCAGGTTTAATGGTGAGGCAGGGAATACAGTGAATACTGGGATAACTTGCCACTAATTCACTATTATTCTGATTCCCTGCCACTGCCATCCCTCTGATTTACTCTTGATAAGTGATCACTGCTGGATAATTTACTTTTATTTCCACATGCCAAACTGCCTCTCTTTCCCCCTGGAAGTAGTGAATTGACCAGTTTTCAGCCCCCAACATGGTGTAAAGTGATAGTACAATACCAGAGCATGAACACCAGCAGGCATACCAAGGTTTTCATGGCCACTGCTATGGAGGGATTAGTTTGAGACAGGCAGCAGGGAACACACAATTACCCCTATCCCTGCCCTGTGCCATCTGCTTGTTTTATAAACAAAAGCATCTACCTGCAAGCACAGAACCTCTGTGCCTGTCTGGGTGTGTAAAAACATCAGCAGAGGTGTTGGTCCAGGGTAGGATAACATGGGACTGTGGGCCTGCCTGCTGGGAGAGGAACCCCACACTCACCCATTAGAAAGTCAAGCACAGTCATGTCAATGAGGTCAAGCAGGCGGGAGCCTCTGTCATAGGGTGGCGTCTCCCGCACTTGGGTGCAGTAATTCTGGTTCAGCTCCCACCTTAGAGAAGCCACAGGAGGGAAAAGTGATGCAGACACCTGGGGCAGCCCCCCTGCCCCCAAATGCAGGTGCTTTCCTTTAACCCTTTGAGTACCCCAAGGAGGAAAATCGGGGATGCAATTATGCAATTATGGATACTCCCCAGACCTCTGGAACCAGAAGGTGTTGGCACCGTTTAGGATTGTAGAAGAAAAGGGCTAGAAGGAACCTCACAAGATTGTCTGGCCCAGGCCCCTGCTCAAGGCAGGATCACCCCTGACTTCCTGCTAGTGGAGATGTCTGAGTGCCAGGAGGCAGAGCTAATTTACCTGGTCACAGTAATGTGTGGACCTGGCCATACTACTACCCACTCAGGAGGCAGGGCAGAGCTAGTGGCAGTGGCCTGATCCAGAGGCAGTGTAGCCAAGCAGTGCCAGGTGATATTGAGCTGCATCCTTTCAGCAAACACACCAGGATGCAGTCCAGTGCAATGGGAATGTTTCTGGTGGGTGGGAGGGTGCTGGCTGATCTGGGACCAGTTTTTCAAATTCAAGGCCAAAGTCTCACTTTAGGGACTTGCTGTGGACACTGAGGCAGAGCATGAAAATGTGGAGCTGTCTGGAGACATCTGGAGTGGCCGGGCAGTGGGGAACAGCTCCTCTTTTGACCTGTTCCCCCACCCAGCACCAAAACATCACAGTACGGTCGCCTTCCACTGCTTCCTCTGGACAGCCACTGGTCGGGGATGATCTAGGCATAGCTATGCTTATTTTCTACCATGGGCATTTCCCATGCTTCTGGGCTTTGCTGCTTTTTCCTACACTGTTCCCCCTCCCCTTTTTTCTGCTATATGTGTCAGGGTGTTATTAAGCTTCCCTTGGGTGTTGGCTACAACTAAGGCTGGGGACTCCAACCGGGGTGTGCTGATTCTCCTCCTAGGAGCACAGCTGGAAATTCCTGGCTAGAGGATCTTGCCCCTCCACTCAGGGTCAGACTGATCACCACATTTGGGGTCAGGAAGGAATTTTACCCCATGGTCAGATTGGTATGGACTGTGGGGTTTTTTGCCTTCCTCTGTAGTGGTGGGGTATGGCCCTCCACCCAGGACCTCTTGAGCATCTACTGATAACATTTTCTAGAAGCAGCTGCTGTTGTTCCCCTGCTTTACCTGTGGCAGGCAAGGGTGTTTGGTCTGTGTTCTTCAGGGTTGAGGGTAGTCTTATGTAAAGTCTAGATTATGGTTGTATGGGATGATTTGGATAGGGATGATCCTGCCTTGGGCAGGGGGTTGGACTATGACTCTGCACCACATCTCTTTCCTCATGCAGATCCCAGCCATAACACCCTTCCTCACTTCTTCTGCACCCTCCCCTCCACCCTCCTGCACCCTCAGTCCTCCCTTGCCCCTCAATACACTCACTCAGCTTTCTTGCTCTTGTGGTAAGAACGCCTCCAGGGGCTGCGCCAGGAGTGACGTTTGGCCAGGGACTTGTCAGGCAGCAAGGCTGCCATGGAGCCCTCGAGCTGGTCAGGTTTGCCACACAGGGCATGTTCCGTGGAGCAGTAGTAAGAGCACTCACCGTAGAAGCAGACGTTGCCAGCTTCAGGAAGCCAGGACAAATCAGAGAAGAACCCAGGTTACCAAGGAACAGCAGTTGCAAGCCCCCCTGTCTGGTAGCTGTGAAGACACTCTGTGCTAAGGAAGGAGCTCACAGGCTGGACAAGCTCTATACTCTACCCAGTCACAGAGCTAGAGGAAAGTGGATCTGCTCTCACTGCGCAGGGAGCCCAAAGGGGCTCTGATGCAATGCAGCATCACAATGACATCAGCAAGGGCGTTTCTCCACTGTCACACCTGTAGCCTGAAATAACATGCTGGCAAGAGATTACTGAAGTAGAGGAGAGCGAGCCTGGCCCCCTAAGTAAAGGAAATGGGAACAGCCAGGCAAGTAACTCCACAGGGAGCTGGGAACCTGGCAAGGATGTACCCACTAGACAGATAAGCTGGCCTGAAGGGGACCCAGCATCCAGGCAGATACCTGGGGAGTGGCCATAGGGTGCTCTCAGACAGGTGATCTGCACCTGGATCACTGCTAATCATGCAAAGCTGTGGGGAGGGCTAGTAGGGGGTGCAGATGTAGGCCACTGCAGTTCCTGTTTAGTGCAGAACAGCCCTCCTGGGCTTGCCTGTAATGGACAGGCAGGTAGAGGGCACTCTCACCTGGAGAGATGAAGAAAGTTTTAGCCAGCTTCTTGTCAGTTGTGATGTCACGAACTTCATTGCTTATATTCACCAAGCGGCCAGAAACGGGGGGGATTCTCCGGAAATCCAGGATCCTTCCAGGAACAAGAAGAGCACACAAGGAACCAAATAGACGCAGGACTCAAAGCCAATTCATTCCCAAGCCAAGTCCTTGGTACCCAGTGCTATAGAAGAGGGCAACCATAGCGCATGGTACATATTTCCTTCACTCCAGCCCATGAAACAACATTAGCCATGGGCCATTGTCCACCACAGTTCGAGAGATAAGAGGGAGGGTCATGAAGGAATAGCTCTGCTGCTTCACTGTCACAGTATTGTACAAACAGATGCAAGGCAGGGTGTTTGCACCTTCCTCTGATGCTTTAGGTACTAAGACATGGGGCTAAGATAGCTCACTGCTCTGTTCTCTTGTGGCTGGAGGTCTAGTAGGAGTCACTGACTAGCCAATCAGTGGCCAATCCGAAATTCCTCAAGAAGACATTCAGATGAAGTCTGGGAATACATATAAAACTTCCTACTTTGCCAGGTGAGAAATAAAGAACAGGGCACACTGGGGTCTGCTGGCTCAGGGCACTAACACAATGAGTTTGGCAGATAGCAGCTAGTGTCATTGCATAGATTCATAGATGTTTAGTTCTTTAAGTGGACATTGCTTCACATCTAAAATTCTATTTACTGTGGCTGCTTAGGGGAATTCAGGACCAGAAAGGCAGAGGGCCAGCATTTGGCTGCATCAGCAGAGCTGTGTGCATGACCTGGGACTGGCTGGAGCAGCGAGTGATCTCCTGAACAGAACTGGTTTGGGAGGGAGGGGTGAACTGTGGAGGGAGACTGACAGCTGCTTGTGTGAGGGAGTCTTAGAACAGCTGTACGGGAAATGCCATAGGTCAGCGCTCCACGAACAAGCACCGTGCCGGACGGATCTGATGACTGAATGGAGTTGGATTTACACAATTGGGCTTGGTGTCTCAGTGTGATAGACAAAAACAAAATCCTGTCCCCAAGGAATTTACAGTCTGAGGGAAGATTTTCCTCTTCCCCCAGAAGGTGGACAGAGTCCTGCGGCAAAGGTCTTTGGGCTACTGCCAACTCCCTGTACAGTGGATAATGTTTCTCTGCCAAAGACGTGAGGCGGGAGTGCAAAGGGCTCTGGAGCACTCACCGGTCCAGGTGGAAGGCTGATATTTCTGCATTGTGCCGTTCAAAGTCTGAGAAGTAAAAAAAATCTGCTGGGGTCTCCTGGTCCCGGGTTTGCCTGAAATGAGAAGGAAGAGGGAGACACAGTCAGAGGCCAGGGTGAAATTAGAGTCTAAACTCCTAGGACCTGCTCAGAGCATTGTAGGAAACTTGGAGTGATCCATCCCTGATTCAGCTGTTTGCTGTCTTGTCCCTTCCCCTCCAAACTCGCCAAGGAAAGCCAGAGCAGTAGATACCTCTTCCCATCCCCGTTCTTTAACTGCACCCAGTGTAAGCAGGTCTCCAGAAGAGATGGCCTCCCCAGCCCCCATCCGCTGTGCCATATTCTTCACACAAGCATCCTGTGTAGCAAAGCAAGCTGCTCCCAGTTTTTCCTCCCTTCGCCACCTGAGGTCGCACCATCCCATCAAACAGCTGAACAGCGGGACTCCTTCCTGCCAAGGAGATGCCAAGGGGGGGCGAGGGTTGCCTGCCCAGCTTGCTCTATGCAAGTAAAGTCCTGGAGTAATGTGAGAGTCACTGCTTCCTGGGTGCTGAGCCCAAGCCAAGGGTGTTGGGATGCTGTGGGGACTGTACAGGCCCATCTCCGTGAGGGGCAGAGCTCCACCCCTCTCCTGCTGGCCTTACTCACTTCATGGGTTTGAAGAGCGCCTGCCCATAGTTTGGGAACGTCATGATTAGTTTCAGCTGGGTCCCTCCAGGTTTCTGGACTGAAACAGTACAGACAAGAATCAGGGCCAGAGCAGGAGGAGAGCGAGAGAGGGGAAGGAGACTCGTGATGCAGATGGGGAAGAGGCACAGTAGGACGCAGAGAGAAGGAAGGCAAATGAGGTGGGGAGTGAGACATGGTGCAGTACCTGAGCCAACAATTTTCTGCGTGGCCAGCTCCTCCAACAGGGTGTGGGTGATGGGGTCCTGGTGGGGGTATAGCTCGTAGCGATTGATGCTGATATGGAACTTAAGCCAGGTGGGGTAGGTGTCGTATGGGGTCTTCCCTGTCGGAAGGACCATCTCTGCTTTACTGCTGCTGACCCTGCAAGTCAAAAGCCACCCCCCCCCCCAATAACAACAGTGTTTAGCACTGGGGTTGCATGGCCTCCATCTCCACAGCATTCCCCAGTCAGCAGACCAACATGGGAGCCGCCCTCCTCCCGTGACTGTCAGCACCCAGCGAGCGGGGTGGGAAAAGAGCTAGGAGGAACTGGAACATGAGAGAGAACAAGAATGCACAATGCTGGTCATTGAGCCCTGGGCTTTGGAGGAACCCCTGGCCTGACCTGCAGCAGCCCCAACCATCCTTGTTCCAGAGCCCCTCCACAGTGCTCCTGCAACATGGTCATTCCTAAATATTTTAAAGTAGACCAAATCTATGGCCCACAGCACCCACTGGGGCACAGCGGAGGGAACGAGTTAATGGGACATCCTAGAAGAACTCCACAACATCCCTTCAAGCCAGGTTTGATTGTATTGTATCTCCTGTGTTTGCCTGTAGTTTGTAACATGGGTTCCAAGCCTGGCTGAGCTGACATGGAGTGTCTGACACCAATGAGCTTAAAGGAAATGCTTGCATTTAAAAAAGGAGGTTAATTCCTGCTACAAACAAGCTTAACTCTGTCCTTACCCCAACCCAACAGCTTACTCTACCTTTGATCCATTTGTAATTTACCTCCAATTTGGCAGCGGAGAGAAGTTCACATTATCTACACTAAAACTGTTTGGCAAAGTAGTTTCTGGACACTTGCAATATTAAAGTACTCTTGGAGGCCAAAGCCCCATTGTGCTAGCACTTCATAGGGCTCCTGCAAAGACACAATCCCAGCTGCAAAGAGTTTATCATCTGTGTTCAAATCATCCCCTGGAGGCACACTGAATCTACACCATTTCACTGACATAGACCCATCTGCCAGGGTAAATCAGGCATGTGATAGATTAAACTTCAGAGATGGACAGAGTGAAGGTAGGTTATGAAAAATAGCTATCCATTTCCACTCTTCCTGCCTCTTATTTTTAACAACCCCAGCACGCTCCAAACATGCTTCCATTAAAGCAGCTGCTCTGTATTTACAGTAGTTACTATATCAGTGGGTTTTATCCATCATCTGGGAATAGCAGTGAGGCTGATGACAGTATGTGGGGACAAAAATAACTTCCAGGTGATGGTATGATCATTGCATCATCAGATTTCACCATCCCATTGTACACAAGCTGGCAAGTGACACCACAGTTGCAGAGTAATCTAAATGTTAGTTGTTTCATTCCCGAAGGTAAACAGTGTGGAGAAGTGCACTAGAAATGGGCAGAGATGTGGAGGAGAAAGGGGACTTTCCATAGTGTGGGAAAGGAAGGACTACAGCTATTGAACTGGGAAAGAAGAAGAGGAGATGAAGAATACCCATGGGCAACTGGTGTCTCCTGATACTGGGGGGGCACCAGCAGCTGACCACCAACTGTGGGTGGGGGTCCCCCAGCGGCCAATCGCCAACCGTGCCACCCCTACACATCGCTTATGTAAATACCAGATATAACATGATAAATTGCATAGAAAAAAACAACCCAAGGCTCCTCTTTAACTGTCTCCTGTGACCATGGACAAGGAGACCCTCAAAGATGCATTTCAGGCTGACTAAAGGAAATGCCAACTGATATGACCCTAATTACCAGAAGCAACTGAGACCTGAGAGACCTATTTGAGACATGTTTCTAAATAGCAAGCCCCTTTGTCAGTTCTTCAAGTTGGACACCCAGAGTGGTGAGTCCAGTTCTGTCCCCGGAGGTCTGAACCCATAAGGAAGTTTACTGCTGTAGTCAAATAGTTTAGTGCAGATCAGAAAAAGGCCCTGCATAATGCAAGGAAGAAGATCAGCACCGACTAGGGTCAAATTAAAAAGGCTTGTGGTCCAAAGCATAAGCTAATCCTCAGATGGCTCCAAAAATACTCATCCCAGGCCCACAGAAAACAGCGTAGCTTTGCACAGTTAGGTGCATCTTGGGAATTTCATACCTTTCTGGGAAGGGTCTGACATTGGCCACGAATAGAGGTAGGCTTAGGGCTATCTTTACACATGCAGGAGCAAACTCTTAGACTGCTGCATTAAAGGGCATAGTCCTGGGATATAGCACATCCCTTCAATCCTGGCAAACCAACCTTTCATCACAGCCTTTCAGGGACCTGAATCCTGAGAAGGTGCTGAAACCCTAAAACAATTCCATGCTCAGGGCACCAGTACACATCGGGCCAGCTGTGAATAGGATACTGAGCAGTACGGGTGACTAGTTCCTGTGTCCCTAAAAGAATATCATGGCCGGGCAGGCTCTCACCATTCATCACTTCCGCTGTCTCTCAGGGTGAACTTCTCTTTGGGATTGACAGTGAACAGTTTGTCTTTCTCCAACACCTCTGGGATCGGGATCCTATAAAGGGGATGCTTAAAGAGCGCTGCTAGTTTTGACCCTCCTGCCCACACCGGCTTCACCCCTCCCCATTGGGGCTTGAAGTCCTGGTCTCCATGCACTGTCTTGCTCCCAGTGCCCACTGCTGGGCGTGCCTCCAGCGAGTGGGAACCCTTCTCCAAGGAACCGTTGCTGCCACTAAAATCCTGGAGGATCCGTAGACTCATCTTCCTTGGGCCTGGCAGGAATGGGCCAGAGGGACTGGCAGATTTCTGGGCACAGCCACAGGAGCTGTGAATGGTGGGCAGTGCTAAGTCCAGTGCCATGTGCATCAGGAGAGCCAAGAGGAAGAGGAGGAAAAGGAGAATTTTGAACTTCCTTTGAAACAAAGTCTGCAGTCGGCGTAGCATCCTCCCGAGCTCAGATCCTTGACCAGAGGCAGATGGCCACCCAAAGCCTGAATGGAACGAATATCTCTTCAGCTGAACCCCTCTTTGAAAAAAAGGAATAGAGAAGTCCCAAGCAACGTCTCAGATAGATCCCTCAGGGTTAAAGCTGTCCTGTGAAAAGCCCAGGGCAATGCAAGAGGTGGACTTGGCAGATAAAGGCTAAATTAGAAATAAATCCGTCACTTTCCCTTCAGCTCCTCTTGCCATTGCCATACAAACGGCGATTGTGCCTGCCCACGTCAATGTGTTCAGTGCAGTCTTGAGGTCCGTGGTGGATGGGACCTCCTTGGTGTGGCAGCCTTCAGTCAGACAGAGCTGGAGGCAGGTTGCTGCTCCACTTATCAATGATGATAAGGAAAGAGCAGGCAATGCCAAGGTTAGAGTGAACGGGGCAAGTTCCAAATCAACAACAGCAGATAGTCCAGTGACAGAAGTGTCTGTAGATAATCCAGGCACACAGCATGCCCCACATCCTGATTCCATCCCCCAGCCTCATAGCCAGCCTATGCTTCGACCCATCCACCCTGGCATACTCACTCACATAGCCCCATGCACTCACTCCTATATGCCCACCCAGGCATCCCAATTCTAGAGGTGGTGCCCACTCTGTGCTTCTACTCACCCACACCTACATACTCATTTTCCTACCACACTCATAGGTCCCCATATCCATGGCCTACATTTTCATTCACATATCCAGTAACGAAGTCACTCTCCTTTCCTATTCAGAATGGGGCATCCACATAAGAACAGGTTTAGGAGTGAGCATCTGGGGCAATTGCCTGGACCTGAGCCTACAGGGGCCCCCAAGAGGCTAAATTAATGCAAGTCATATAATGTGTGGGAGGAGGAAGGGGCCCACACCTCTTCCTGGGGCTGCCATGAGTCTTAACTCTGGATATGCTCACACCCCCATGCAAGTAAGAACTCACTCAGAGATATGCTAGCACGCATACAGGGCCACTTACATACACCCACCTCTCGGTTTGTATATACATTCCCAGAGACACTCCATGGATATGCAAAAAGGATTTGAATACTGGCTAAGGGAGGGGAAGGACTGGCAAGCTAGCAGTGGCTGCAGATCAGGAGTGAGGTGCATTGGCCCTGCTGCTTGACGGTCACAGAAATCAAGCTTAGAACAGCAGAGGGGGTTGTATTGGTTCAGAGCATAGGTGCTGTGGGGCCCTCCGAGCTGGCACAGCAGAGAAGGCTGAGCAGTCCAAATTCAGGTGCATCAGAACTGTGGCGAGACTCCAGGCACTGGGATATCAAGGATGTGCTGCAGGCAGGGCAGGCTCAGTGTGCTGGAAAGAGTTATGAAGAGGCTGGTTTGCTGCGCCATATGGTACCTGCCTCTAGCAGTACTTCATTTCTGCTGAGTTTGTGCTTTACACACTGGGACAAACAGAGCCAGAAGTGGGAGAGCAAGCAGCATCTTAGATAACTTCCAAACAAGATTGTTAACCCCTTTCTGAGCCAAATGGTCGTGAAGGATTTAAAAACATTCTGAGGGGAGTCCTAGCCCTGGGAAATCTACTTCTCCAGGGGTAGCGAATGACCCAGAGATGTAGCCCCTCAGGTTTTGGGAAGGGAGAACCTCCTAGACGTAGCAAGCCTACAAGCTTGGGGCAATGTAGCAACCAATGAGGCCCAGAGCCCCGTGTGCCACAGACCAGAAAGTGGGTGGTAGGGATGTGCCTGGGATGGCTTGACCAGCAAACCCCCTACTCTGGAGTGCATCAGACGACTCAGTGCCCACCCTGAGACTTGCTGCTGGCAGTTCTGGGAGCTGAGAAACCAGCTCTGGGACATGGGAGTCTGAGATTCTGGATCTCTCGCATATTCTCCTTTCACTTGGAAGTCTGGCTCCAAGGCCTGGGGATGGGATATAAAGCTTCAGTGCCAACAGACCCAGCCTGAGCCCTGGTGAGGGGGTTGGATGGCAGAAAGGGGTACATTCTTGGACACACACCCCTGCCAGACACGTACATCCTGGCTCTCCTCCGATGCAGTCGCACCTCTGTCCCTTTCACACGTCCCTCCAACGTGCTGTCGCACACCATCTCCGACACGCACACACTCTCTCCCACACATACACACGGAGCTGCTGTTGAGAGAAGGAGGAGTTCTCTGCTGCTCATGTCCCATGGTGCAACGGTTGCCTAGTAACTGTCTCCAGCTGACACTTTCTTCCACCCTAGATTCCAGCAACGCTCACTCTCTTTCCTTTGCATTGCAGCGATAACATGGCTGATGATGGGAACTGAACAGGTCTTATTTCCCCTTTTGTCTGGGTTAGTGTGATTAACCTTTAATTGCATCCATGCTCTAGGGTAACCTGAACAGAGCCTTCCACCAGAACGACTGACCTCATAGCCAAACGGCAGGGAATGAGTCCGTTCCCTTTTGTTTGGCTATGAGGGCAGTCATTCTGGTGGAAGGAAAGAGACAGAGAGCGGCCCACTACGCCAAGTACTGGGGAGGGAATATGGAGCCTTCCACAAGGAAGATGATGGTACCTCTCTGTCCCTAGTCATAGTGAACAAGTGACTCAAAGGGATTATGGATGAAATACCAGGCCTTTAACTTGCTGCTTACCAAATGTTTATAATTTCTTAGCCGTTCAGTGGTTTATGGCCAAGGTGGTTTCAGTGGTGTGAGGCCTCAAAATTAGGTTTCAAGGTTCTTTATCCTCTCCTGTACTAGAGACTATAAGGGGATACCTCATGCTTCCCCATCTCGCAAAGCCAAGTTTGAGATTGGTCTGTGGATGATGCTCTCATACCCAGGCTCATTGCCACTACTGCCTGTGCTGGAGCCTGTCCTCTAAATAAGGAGCCTGATACCTGCTCTGGGGGAGTTTGCAATCCTTAAATGCCTAGTGAGTTTGCTGATTTGGTGTCACAGACAGAAGCAGAAAGTAGGCTGGGTGGGGTGCCCGCAGCCCTGCATCACTTCAGTGCCAGCATTAAATATTAACCAAATGATTTTTCATCAAGTCAGATCTGAGCCTGCAGTGAAATGAGAGCAAGAGATGGACAGCTTCAAAGCCAGCTCTTATCGGCTGGCAGCCTGTCAATGTACCTTGTTGCCACAACATTTATTGCAGAAAAGCAATCACATTCCCACTTGCCACAACATTTATTGCAGAAAAGCAATCCCTTTCCCCCCTCCCGTTCCCCACCTGCCTTCTCACTGGAGCCAAGTCCCACCTGGGGTGTGGGTGTCCCAAGTGGGTGGTCATGACCTGTGTGGTCTTTTCACCCCTTTCAGGCAGCAGGAAAGCAAGTCACAGATGACACACTGTTTATCACTGGATATTGAAGCTCGGTGGCCCATCTCAGCGAGTAGATAGGAAGATTCATTCTGGTTGGTACCAGACCATGCCATCATGACACCTTCCACCTCCCTGCCTACCTGGGATCCAGGCACCACTCTTTGGTAGGATGATGGTGACAACACAAGGTCACAGTAAGAAAGACCTTTCTTCTCCCTTGTATCAGTCGCCAGGCCAATAGACCTCTTGCGTGGAGTACCCCAGCTGATCTACTATGGTTTTGCAAGGCACAAACTTCAACAAACTGTGAAGCTGACTGCAAGTTCTGTTCCAAAGTGGGGAGGCACCATGTGAGGTCCAAGACAGCCAGCTGCAAAAAGAAGTACTTGTAGAAAGAGATGATAGGGAGCAAGGGAAATTGCCATGTCCAACTGCACGTGTTTTAGGAAATTGGAAGGTTTATCTTCCATCACTAAATCCTAATGAGAGGATTGGGGATCAGCCAACTTCAGCTGATTGCACTTGCAGGTCATAGAGACACGGCTGTGGCCCTATGACCATTGGATAGATAACAGACTGGAAGTGGGGCCAAGATCTGTTTACTGAGGTAAACAGGTCCCTCTCAGTATGGTCTCTGCAGGTCAGCCTGACCCTTGCATGAGTACCCATGACCAGGGTGCATATGTGTACACACAGGACTGTTAACTGTTCATTAACATGAAAGAAATACAATAGAAGAGACCGCAGTGGTAGTACAAGATGCTCCAAATCCACAAGAAGCAGGACATTCCATAGCTCCTTGCCTTACCTTACTCTCTAGCCTTGAAGGAATGCATATGGCATTGAGGAGATGAAAAGGCTTAGATCAAAAAAAGCTAATTTCCAGTTAGCTCCCACTGAGCACCTGTATCCAGGGACCATCGTTTATGACACGTTTTCAGTAATGCAACCTTTAATTTGAAGAAGTGATGGGTATCTACATGTGATGCCATAAAGTACAGTAGTTCGTTTGACTTATGAGAAAGGAGTACTTGGCTCAGGGAACCTTTCTGCTCAGTCCTCAGTTGCACATCAGCATGAGAGTAAAACTCAGTTGCTATCTGAAGGGTAGGAACTCTGGGTAGGATGTGGGGTCCGGTTGCTACAGATGATCCAAGTTACAAAATCCTCCAGAATTTATTTTTATTAAATTAGCTGTTTACAGTAGGACTCACAATATGCCAAGAATTTTCCAGGTATTCAACAAAAGGATGGTCTCTGCTCTTAGCACTTGCAGTCTAGTCCCAAACAGAGGTTAAGAAACAAGCACAAACAGGGATTCATTTTTAATAGTCAATAAGATTCACAGTTGGCAGTACTGGCTGCAGGGCTGGAAGGACTAAAATGTGGACAAGCTTGGGGCCTTGCACTTAAGCAAGAACTGGTTCCGGCTGTACCACTTGTTGGCATTCTCAGAAGAGTCCAAAGTTCAAATGAGCCACAAAACCTGACCTTTTTAAAGGAGGTGCCCCACTTCTTCCCCCCTGCCCCCAAGACCAAGGCTGAGGAAGATTGGTGGAGGGCAGAAGGTAGAGGGTCACTTGCCTTGCTGCTGCTCTTTATTCCAAGGATAAACAGAAGACCTGAGTTTCAAATACTGTTGATCTGGCAGCTTCCACTGGGCACCAAACTCCTTTTACCAGTACAGAACCCAAATGAAAGAGGATAAAACTCCTTTCCCTATCTCTGCAAGTCACTTGGCTGTCCAAAGATTGAGGTGAAAAGGTATTCGTAGCCTGACCCCTGAGATAAAACACCACTGGCAACAGAGGTCTTGACTTACCCTACCCGATCACATCAGGGCTACCCTCGCCTTGATGTTCCCCACCTGGATGGATTCTGAAATGAAAATGTCAAACACAAGTGACATCATTCTTTTTATTGTAAAAAAAAAATTCCCAAATGCATATAAATAAGCCATATATGTAAAATACAATTAGGTCCATTCCATCTCTTAACACACTTCCCAGAGCTTTAAAAAGATGAAGCAGACTGAACGGACTGAAGTACAAATGTACATTAAATCTCTGATGTCTGAGAGAGGCAGGTCACATGGAGGCCTGTCCCCACTGTGAGCCTCTAAGCCAGATACAGAGTACACACAGCACTGGCACCCATGACACTCCTGAGAGCTTATGTTCCTCTCAAGCATGAATCCAAATTTGGTACAGTGTTCTCACCCACTCCTCCACTTGCCACAAGCCGCCTAAGTTTCAGAGCTATATCAGTGCTCAGTGGGTGTGGAAAAGAGGAGGGGTCAATCTGGGCTACAGCCTTCTGCTGGGTTTGAACTGCCATATCTTCACTCTGTTCTCACACCCAGGCAGCTCAGCTGTCATGTTCCTCTCCCAGTAAGTGGGAAAGAAGTGCAGAAAGGCAGAATTAGCTCCCGGCACTACCTGGGACAAAAGGGAGAGGAGTCCACATAGGACCTGTTCCAAGAGGTCACCAAAAATGCTGTCAACATTGATGGCCACTGAAGGAACAGACACTGGTCATGAGAGCTATTCTATACTGCAGGAAGGATTGCAGAGGAGAGGAAAAATAGTATGGAAGGATGGGAAGAGCAGATGGATGGCCTGGTTATTTTCTTTGTTGTTTCACACCCATTCCCAGTTCTAATGTATGGCTTCATAAACTGTGTCTCATGAGACTGCAAGCCCACCAGAACCCCTTGCCTAACTTCACCCTCTCTGGAAGAGCCACACCCAAATACAAGATCACTGTGAGACCCCAAGAAGTAAGATTTGATAACTCAGCAGACTGACACATGTACACACACCATACGGATTATACATACCCTAGTAAACCGGTACGTAAATATGAAAACAACTCTCAAAGTTTTACTATTAAAAATAAAGCCCTGCTTCAAGATAGTACAAAACCCAGGAAGGGAATGAAAATATTCCTTGTGGTGACATGAACATGGATGTCAAGAGCACTTCCAGACACAAACAGCCAGACTGCCACCAAAGAACATGTACAGCAGGTTCTTCACTTCATGAGTAATCTCAAAGCCAAAGCCCTCGCCAATCACAACATGCCAGGAGGAGCCAAACTTCTTGTCCATTGTCTCCTTGATCATCTTGGCAGCACTCTAAGGGACAAAGAAAGAGAATAGTCCAGGCGGAGGCAGGGAAAGCAGCATGTGAAAAAGATGGGAGGAGGGTGTTCATGTGTATAAAAGCCCTGCTCTCCCCATTCTTTAATAGGCCGCTTCAGTGGAGAAGAACAGGTGAGACAGTTATAGCAGAGAAGCTGAGACCAAGACAGTGACACTGCAAGGGTCAGAGATTGCTTTGCTGGAGACTTCTTAAAATTCAGCAGAACCAATGAAAGATTTGTACCGAGGGCCTGGTATATCTCTCACTTATCCCAAATTGAATCAGGACTGACCTGCTGAAATGAATGGAGTTATTAAGTAACAGAGTGAAGCTGAGTAGATAACTATATCCTTACTCTTGGTTATTTTTGAGGGATCTATTTTTCATCCAAGCAAATCCTAAAACACATCTCTTGGGATTGGTTGGACTTTAACTGCCTCCTCAAATAACCATCTGAGGTTTTCTTTGGTTCTTTCATCATCTGACTATTAGCTGTTTTCTAGAACAGCACCCCAGCTAGACAAGGGGGCCAAAGAGGTGGTAAGGGGATGGGCACTTTTAAACCCTGCCTGGGGACAAATGGCAGGTAGCAAAGACTTCCCTACTGTGAACCTCTTGCTCACTCCTGCATCAAACAGCTGTTGCAGCAAGCAGACTGTGCCCTGCTGATCATCCAGAGCTTATGTGAGAGCCAAGGGTAAAAGAATGCACTGGTCTAAGTGTATTAATTCAGGGAGGTTGTAGAACATCTCAGCCCCTAGCATGCCAACACATGCATGTAATCTGTGGATCAAAGTCATCACCCCTTTTGCTCAGAAAACTGAAGGCCTAGTGGGCTGAGGAACCCAGCTGCAATAGGATCCCTCTGAAGGGTCAGAAGGTATACAGAAGACTTTAATTTACGCTCTGCAGGAAGATGTTCAACTCTCTTTCCAACTTTTGGTAGAGCTAACCCTGGAAAATACCTCCAGCACCTTCCAAGCTGATACAGAGTTATTTCAACAGCCCTATGCCAGCCTTAACCCTGCCTCCCAATATAGAGGTCATTTTGGGAGTAGGGACGAAGTTTGCTGGGTGCAAACCAGAATCAGGAGGGGCATGGCCAGAAAGCATAGCAAACCTGCTACTTTTTGCTTCCTGTGGCTGACAAGGAAAGCAGTAGGTAAGTCAGTGAGGACCTTCAGTTGTTTCAACTGACGCTGGGGACCAAATTGGAAAATCTGGTCATTTCTGACTTTGCTCCACTCCTTTTCTTCCTTTGCTCAATGCAGACACAGAGCACACAGTTCAAGACTAGAGTATCTGACCTCTTTTCTGTCCTCCCCTCCATCTTGCCTCAGAGTATTCCCTGTGGATGGAGCCACTGTCTGAAACCAGTTGAGTCAGACAGAACAACCTCCTTGGAAGTGGTTGCTACCTCATTGTTGGTGGCATATTTCTCACAGGCGGTGACACACAGTTCCATGGCCTCCACACGCATCTCCTCTGGCATGTCTGTGTGCTGGGAAGAGCAAACATATGAGAGAGAGCTGAACAAGAGCTGGGCATGAGATAAGGGCAGATAAGCAGGAGGGACTCTTCCCTCCATCATTCTACTGCTGTGCCCTTGTGTTGTCATGCAAATAGTCGTGCATGCTAGTTCCTCTACACTCTGTCTCAGTGGAGGCAGAAACATTGCCTCCAGGATCTCAAATGTTCAGAAGTGAGAGCCTGAAGATAGCCCTGCCTCAACAGAAATTAAAGATGGAAGTTTGTGATGTCACCTCTTGTCCATCCCTGCCAACACCACATTGTTCCCTTTGGATATTTTGATGATTCAGTGTTTTAGTTTGCAAGTAATGATGTGGGATTACTTACCCCAAGGGGAATTAAGGACATGCATATGTATCCTAATTTTTCCTTACAGATCACAGTGCTTTATGCTCACGCTGTGGTAAGAAACACTAAATAATTGCAATAAACACTATAGGGATATCTAAATTGCACAGAACTTCCCCTGTTCTGGGCTCTTCTCTCAACTAGGAAAAAAACCTCCAAGCTCTGCACAGCACTTTGGATGTGGTAGGACTGCTATGAAGTCAATAAGGTCAGCTCTGAGGGAGTGAGGTCAGAAAGGGACTGCTTTGTACCACCCCAGCTTGGCTTTGCTAACTGACAAGACACCACATGGGGTACAGACCCAGGGACAATTACTTATGGAGTAATTTCTCTTGTATATTACTCTGTAGTAAATGTAGTCAGTAGTAAGCAGACCCATGATGAGCTCAAGACACTTGCCTGCTGTAGGTGCTGTTACAGTACCTGGGCACTAGGTGGCAGGATAGTCAGTTTGGCTCCCTGGGGATGAAACTGACTGTGACACATGTAGATTTGGAGCCATTTCCAAAGAAGAGCTGCTGATCAGCAGCTCTATTCCCCTCTAAGCAGCACCAGTGATGCCACATCTGGAGTACTATGTCCAGTTTTGCCCCCCCCCCCAGACTACAGAAAGGGTGTGGACAAGTTGGAGAGAGTCCAGCGGAGGGCAGCTTGGTGGGGGCTGGGGCACATGACTTATGAGAGGCTGAGGGAGCTTGACTTAACCAGTTTGCTGAAGAAAAGACTAATGTGGATTTGATAGCAGCCTTCAACTATCTGCAGGGGGGTTACAAAGAGAATGAAGCTAGACTGTTCTCAGTGGTGACAGATGACAGAACAAGGAGCAATGGTCTCAAGTTGCAGCAAGGGAGGTTTAGGTTGGATATTAGGAAAAACTTTCTCAATAGGAGGGTGGTGAAGGACTGGAACAGGTTACTCAGAGAGGTGGTGGAATCTCCATCCTTGGAGGTTTTAAAGGCCTGGCTGGGATGATCTAGTTGGGGATGGTCCTACTTTAAGTAAGGAGTTGGACTAGATGACCGCCTGAGGTCCCTTCCAACTCTAATTTTTTATGCTTCTAAGCCAGGAGCGATACAACTGTAACAAAACTGCTCCTGCTTTAACCTTGGACGAAGCAGTGTTAGAAATTGGAGCTCTTCTACTACAACTGTTTCACTCCCACCTTATCCACATGTGTCTGTTAGAACAGATCTGCTACCATGTGGTTCAGAACAAGAGCTCCCCCTTCCCCTTTGTTAATGGCTCCAAATATGTGTGACCATACCCTAAGGGCAGTATTTTTCTTATGCAGTATAGCCTCTGCACATTTTTCAATAGGCAGTTTTACCCTGGATTTGAATGATTTACTATGTAGTAGATCCATGTCATGTGCTGATTCTACTTTTACTACATAGTAGAATCAGGTTTCTATGGAGTAAACATGCTGTGTATCTGACCCACTGACCAACTCTGGAAGAAAACTGCTTTTCAACTGCGTCACAGGAGAGATGGACAGTGGAAAAATGGCAGGAGGGTAGGGCTCCAGGCAGAAATGGTATTCTACAGTTCTGTTCTTGCTGCAGCTCAGTAGCAAGGGGCATACTGATTTGTGGGGAGCAGGTAGGAAGGAAAGACATTACCCTCCCATCCCTGTGCCCCAACACTTTTACACATGCCCACTCTTCTTCTTACCCTGATCAGTGGGAAGCTGTGAAGTCTTTTATAATCAGCCTCCTCCTTCTTTCCCTCCCCAGTGTCTGCCATAGTCCTTCCACTGTGACCCCGGGAAGGAGCGGAGGGGCTTGATTGGTACCAGCAAGGTGCTGTGGTGCCGGAGACTAAGTGGGGTGGAATTCTCCAGGATCAAGCAGAACACAGGTTCAGC